GACGCATATCTCTCCCTCCCTCCTCCCTCCTTTCTTCTCCTCCTCTCTCTCTCTCTCCTTCTACCTTAGAATAAGCAGTGAAGGAGGCACCGCGATCGTCCAGCAAGCTGACCTAGACTCACCATGCATTTTGAATTCCCAGGTTTTAATTAGTAATATAAACAGACAAGGAGTTAAAGATTCAATGTTCAAAATATTTGGTATCTCACGAAACGATTTTTTCATTTCAGTCTTTCCATTCTTACCAACCTGTTAACCAGTTTCGTAATTAATGGGTCATACCTTTGACATATAGACCGAGAGAAGGAAGGTTCACTGGAAGAAATCGACTCGATCCAACAGTTTTAATCAAATTCATGTAATCGAACAAATGCAAGAACTGACGCCAACCATCGGAAAATATCAAATTAAATAGCCATGTGGCACGCAACGTTTGTAATTCTTCACCACCACACCGAAAATTGGAACAGAGATTTGGACAACCGTGCTACCAGTTAAAGTAAGTTCACCGAAAAGGGTATCTCCGGTACCTTAAGGGATATATCTTCCATAACCCGAAGATACTTGCTAGGCCTCCCTCAATCCACCCATTTTGAATTCTTCCAATTTGAATATTGCGCGTTTTCAGGGAATGAACTGTGCCCCGTTGCGAACTGTTTCATCTCAAAAGAGACGCGTTACGTTGTGGAGTGCGTCGCGGTCGTAGGAAGATTTGGGTTGATGGTAGTGCCGTTGTCATGCCTCGATTGAATGTGCTCGATCGGTGTGCTAAACTATGGCTGTTACTTACGTGGTAGCTTAATTCATGTAACTGACTTTTGTGGTATAACCTAGCCAGAGGATAATAACCACTCCGATTAAAACTAAGTTAGATTTAAATAGAATTGTCATTTTAAGCCATGAACAATTCCAGTCAGGCGGAAACTGCTTCGTGGTGAAACTTTTGTCAAACCTTCTTAAACCGCTCCCTTAGCATATGTTAGAGACCAATAATAACAATGAAATGCTTTAAGCTTTTATTCTCAATTTCTAATGTGAATGAAAGTGACGGAATTGTTTTTCTAAGTTGGAAATGTGAATCATTCATATGTCAGTTAATTTAAACCTTTCATTTTTTCTGGCATCAATGTCTCCAGTTTTTTCATATCTCTCTGCAACACTGTTCGTAGCTTGTCTTATTCAGTACAAAATATCCACTCCTATTTTAGGCTGTTGTGATATTTTGTTTTCGTCGACTGGTATAACAGCACGACATCATGAGGTATGTTGCAGCGTTATTTTAAATTGGCTAAGCTCTTACAAATAGTCCGGGATTTTAAATAAGCTTCACAGATATATGTTTTGTTGGAGGATGGAATCGATAAATCATGACCCTGTTGTAATTACAGAACAAGTTTTGAAGATTTAAAGGTCAAGCATAGGGCTTTCCAGCTCCACTGTGTTGGCTTGAATCAGGTTGGTAAGATGACCAAATGTTCACCTTTTTCAGTGGCCTGCGGCTTCAGAAAAGATTGGCCTCTGATGTACTGAAATGTGGTAAGAAAAAGGTATGGCTGGATCCAAATGAAATTAATGAAATCTCCAACGCCAATTCACGGCAGAATATCAGACGACTTGTCAAAGATGGTTTGATAATTCGTAAGCCAATCGCAGTACATTCACGATATCGTGCTCGTAAAAATCTGGAGGCTCGCAGAAAGGTCTGCTATAACATTTTGTTTATGGCTTATGTAATATACTTTATAATATTTCTTTTAGTGGTTTTTATCTTTTTTAAGGCTCGAACATTCGTGTTTTTTCCTTTGTTCCTTCATTATTTCTTCATATTTGGGACGTTTTAGGGTCGTCACATGGGCCATGGAAAGAGGCGTGGTACACAGAATGCGCGTATGCCGGAAAAGATTTTGTGGATCCGTCGAATGCGTGTACTTCGTCATCTTTTGAAACGCTACCGTGAGGCGAAGAAGATTGACAAGCATCTGTCAGTTATTAAGCCTGTGCATTAGTTATATTAGATTTTGCATGTACGTCACAAATTGACGTTCTCTCCGCTCACTTTGCTGTCACATTATTTGTATACTTTTGCAGGTACCATGATCTTTATCTTCGAGCCAAGGGTAATGCATTCAAAAATAAGCGCAATTTAATGGAATTCATTTTCAAGAGAAAGACTGAAAATACACGCTCCAAACAATTGGCGTAAGTCTTTTGGAGCAGTCCTTTGTTTTACATTGTCTTTTCAGGTGACATAGGACCCCCTGCTATTAATGCAGTAGTTGAAAGTTAGGAGTTCTAGAAAACATAGATGACGGTTGCAGAGAAATTCGATTTTCATTATAATTTAACGACTGCAGGGAACAAGCAGAAGCACGTCGTGCAAAGAACAAGGAGTCAAGGAAACGACGTGAACAACGTTTAGTAATGAAGAGAGCGGAAGCTTTGCGCAAAATCTCCGAGAATGAGAAAGAGACAGTCACTAACAAGGAAATAAAAGAGCCGAAAGCAGTAGAAAAGTAAGGCAGCAAAGTATATATTTGTTTGGATACGTAAAGTTGTAAACATAATTGGTTCCTTGTTATTAATTATTTTTGGGATAAATTCTGTTGTTTTCTTGCCTTGCATCACTTATAAGTTTCTTATATGATAATGTAATGTGAATGATATGAATATTGTGTAATAAGCTTAGAAATCTTCGCTGAATTAGGTATATGGGCCGGTTCTACGATTTAAATTAGTTTTGTTGAACGATTGACCGACAGACTACTGAGATGAAGTGGAATTTCGTAGTGCCGGCATGGAGTATCAAATAGGTTTTAATGAACTGTAGATGTGCAACAGCTAAGTAGAGTTGTTGATCAAAATACATTTTGATTCGAAAGTCATCAATAGAAGTGGTTATACATAGGTAATCTCTAAGCTGATGTTTCTTTTCTGACTTGCTCGACGCTGTCTTTGCTTTTTTCTATCGTCTGTCTTGGCATAGGAAGTGGTTGAATTGATGAAGGCGACGCAGCACGTAGTGCCATTGGTTGAGGGATGTTTGATGGTCCTGGTTTAATTTCGAGCTGAGAATTTTCTTCCTCTGATTTATCGACTGGATCTACTAGTCTTCCCTCCTGATGAACTTGAATCTGGAAAAAAAGAGTTATCGGTTGTCATTTAACCGTTGTCAGCCTCATTATAAGAATGACATTAGTAGATTGAATAATATTAATTTTCATAAGTGGACAAAATTAACCTGTTCATCAAATGTCTTCGTGAACTCAGGCAGGGGACATTCTGAAATCCTATATAGCGATGATGGTATCACATCGTATCCATACTTCTTCATGTCTTTAAGTACAATATCCATAGTTATGGTGATGATTCCTTGGCTCCTTACTTTTGTAACTGCAAATTCATCATCGTTTACAATAGTGGTTCCTAACCTTTTCTTAACCAAAGATCACTTTGGTTTTTTTATTTATAGCAAAGACCATAAGGTTCAAAAACAATGAATTCTATTAGTTTGAAGATAAACTTTAGTCGGAATTTTTGACGTATTAGTTAAACTTAGAATAACATTATAATATTAAGAACAAAGAATATGGGAAGGAAGTCACAATCACAAAAAACAAAGTCAATTTTTTTTCCTTCATCAATAATTTTCTGCTCACCGCTCTGTCGCTCTTACGAACTATCAGTTGGGAACCACTAATTTAAAATAAAGAGCAGACTGGAACAGACAGAATTTTAACCTTTTAAGAAAATTATGGACTTAAATTATGGACTTAAGGTTTTTTAGTCATTGTTTTCAAAGTTATTGCTTTCAATTATTATTGCTTTTAATGTTATTGCTTTTGAATAGTTACTGCTTTTTTATTCAATAGTTATTGCTTTTAAAGTTTCCTAAACTTTTTACCCTGTCGACCATCTGCCGTTGCAACGATTCTCGGGTCTACAAATTCAGCTCTTTTCCCAGTAAGCCATCCGATAACACGCTGTAATAATGTGGAAGCTTCTGGTACAAACAGTGCTATCCGCCTGACTGTTCTGAAATTTGTTTGTTCGGGGACAGAAATTTGGAAATTTCCAATTGGATGGCTGGAATCGAGTAATGTGGTGAAACTTTTCACAGTTATACAGTGAAAAGTGTATTGTGAACTTTCATTTTCCATTTATCTACGTTCAGAATTGTACTTTCATTATCGATCGGAAAAATGATTAAACACTGAAAAGAAGAAAACTTTCTGAAGCATCGGGTAAATTGATACAGAGGACTGGACTTCGGGTACTAGTAGAAATTGAAAATTACCTTCCCGGAACAGTTGGAATATGTACAGCTCCATAACCACAAACGACGTCATTGCCGAAGAAATCTAACCCGTAACAAGTAAGTACAATCTGTGGCCCTGCACAAATTATTTATTATTTTTTTTCTTTCCTTAATGACTGTAAATGTTAAAGTATAGTTTCAAATTTCAGTCTATCCATTTAATTTGCAAATATTCAAATAATTTATATTCCATTTAGAATAAGTAGATGAATTAGTTCGAGCATGACAGAATTTCCGTCATCTGATCTTACTTGAAAGTTGATGGGATAGGAAAAAAGTGTGTTGTAATCAGCATTCTGTTTAATTTCAAATCGTTTTTCAAATTTATTATTTCTAAGGAATAATATCTGTTATCCATGGTTATTTAAACAACTCTTCTATCTTACTGAAACCTTCAGGAATTCGGTGGTAGATGAAACATGGAAAATTTTATAAAATTTCAAAATGAGTTGAGTAAAACTTACAACCAAATGGATTTGTTGAGGTAAAAGTGGCTTCAATAGGCATACCAACAGTTATATCAGTATTTCCGGAACGTTCACGTTCACATCGTGCACTGATTCCTTCGCGAATACCAGCAATTTGTTTCCAGTCAATACCATATACATATGAGTATTTGCAGTAAAAATTATCAAAGGAGAGAAACTGCAATTTGTATTGGTAGACAGTTGACAAATTAGTTTCAAAAATGAATGATAAAATTGATAAAAGGTATTTGCATTGATAGCAATTGTTATTAATAGTTTGAAAAAAAAGAGTTAAAAAAGTTCATAAGTTAAGCGTAATAATTGATAAAAGGTATTTGCATAGTTAATCTTAGATAATCAGAAAGAATCCTTATTATTTGCAAATTTGATAACTTTTGTAATTCGAATGTTCATCATCCTTCTAAAAGTAAAGACAATATCGCTATCTTTCAGAATCTACTTTACCACCTCTTACTAAAGAGCTGATCAAAATTGCAAAGATTTTACGGAAGATATCTAAATCTAGAAATTTAGAAAAGTAAGCAAACGGTGTGGTGTGTGATAATGTTATATTTTAGACTAAATAAAATATTAAATGAAGAAACCTCAGCACTATCCACTTGTCCATTAAGTAACACAATGAAATTTGACAGTTTTGGTTGTTTAGCACTCATTCATCTGGATATAATTACACTTTCATAACATTGAAAATTTGAAATACAATGTGTAAAATGACGAAAACAAAATGAAATAAGTGAAAATATATTAATTATGATAATGTAAAAAAATCAATTTCATAATAAATGGCGTAAAATGTGCAACAGATTCGTTTGAGAATTGAAGATATACTTGAAATGAATATTTTAAAATATTTTTGCTTTATTTAGCTAAAGCATTGATAGCTTCAGAAACTTCATCAAATCGATTGAAAACTGAAAATTAATGGAAATTTAGGAAGTAAGGAAAATAACAGTTAAAACGAATAAAAGTTCTTATAAAGTTGTGTAATGGAAAGTTTGAAAATACTTACTGTCTCTGAGTTCAATGTATTCTTTGCTTCCTTCTACATTGCTTAATTCTATGTGATAAATCAAATCAAACTTACTGACACAGTTGTCAAGAGGTTTCTAGTACCATTCAGTTAAAATGATCATTTGAAATATCTCCTAATTCAAAGGTCGAAATTATGAAATTTCAAATTTTATTATAGGAATAATATTTGGATTATAGCAACGATGAAACGAATGAGATGACAAGGTAGACGTCACCATAGTGACAAGGAAAATGCTTAACCAACTATCAAATAGGCTGTTTCAGGAGCTATAAATGACCACTAAAATGAACAAACAGATTAACCATAATAACCAAAAGTTTAATTCGAAAACAAAAAAGGATTTGCATAATTGCTTACTGAATAATATTCCCAATCCGAAAAAGACAAAAAACAAATCAGGAGAAGTTAAGGAAGAAGATGATCCATAAAATCCATAAAACGTGAAACTGAACTTGAATTTTTGACCTAAATAACTTGTTATATTTCCTCCATTTCATATTCCGCAGATATCCTTATCAATAACCATTTTATACCTTCCTAAAATTTGTTAATCTGTTAGTGTCCCCTACCAATAATTCATGTTAATCGCATTTTGCATATTCTCTATAAGCTTCTTTTCCCGTCCAAAGGTATCAAACAAGTCGTTTTCAGAAAATTCGTCTTTCTGCAATCGAGTTAACGAAAATTCTTCGATTTACTTAAATGCTCAATAACAGAATTCTTTTCATATTGCATCAGCACTTTTTATCTGAACAAATGACCAGTTCACTTATCATTTGGCCAGAATTTCATTTCGAAAGATTGAAAAATTCAAGGCGAGATTATGTGAGGACGGAGATTTGACATCAAATTTCAACATCAACGAATTAGAAACCTCTTAAAAATCATTTCTATTATTTGGTAAACAAAACTTTTTTTTCCATTTCTGCATGATAAACAGAAATGGATGGTTGCTGACGAAATGAACAGAAAACAAATTTTAATTATTTTTTATAATGAAGAGGTGGCAATTTTTTTCTATTATTGTATCTGTTGAATTGATAGAAATTAATCTTTCTATAAATTTTACCTTTCTGTACATTATATTAATTTATTTAAAATCAAAGCTATCTCACTGATGTAAGATTTCAGGACAAGCTAGAAATTATGTTATTATGCCATATGATATTTCCAACTTTCTTATCTATTCGTAGTCTGATTTGAATCCATTGCTTATTCTAATGTGCCGAAATCTTGCTCAGATCTTTGTCATGGCTGTATCCAGTAAATCAGATTGTTGAAGATTGTGTGTCAATAACAATTGACTTAACAAATATGGAATCACCAATCCTTGCTAACTTTTAAACTACATATAAACCAAATAGCCGTTTCAACGTATCATATATACTTTACACACCGAAATTAAAGTTGAATAGAGGCAGAAATTTTAGCAGATTAATTTGAAATTTGGATCTTAGATTTAGGAAAAGATTGCAAACTTCTACTATAATTCAAAATATTATTTTGAACTGGAAGAATGCTAAACTGCAAATCATTTCTACACTTTTTTTTTTAATTTTGTGAGTCGTATTAAATTCTCAATCGTGAACTTTTGTGTTCTAATTCTTTTTCTTTTTTTTTTTAGGAATAAACTACTCAATCTATTCACTGTTTTTTTTTTCTTGTTGTATAGCCGATCTTTATTTCATTGCTCTCCGAACTTAAAAAATTAATGCTGATACCTACATCGTTAATGTTTAAATATCACCTCTTGAAATATAAAGTAAGAGATCACTCTAGAATCGTATTTCATGCTAGGAAATAAGTAGCATGCATATGAAATAGTTGCGCGATTGGATTATTCGACTCTTTTCCTTTCTCGTCATTACTTCCTGTGTCGTCAACTTCAACGTCATCGTTTTCAGAATCCAACTCTGCAATTCATTCAAGTTGATTTTGCTTCACATGACGAATTAATACAGCAAAAATGTAATGTTATTTTCAATCTATACACAAACACAAATAGTTTAAAATGAAAATAACAAAATTTTTTATTTTTAGATTTTTAAAAAAATGCAGGGATTACAGATATTTGTAAGACCTATAAAAGTTTTCAAAACCAATCAACTTTCAGCGCTTTATCCCTATGAAAAGTTGAAAAAAGTTTGTTAACAATTGCTAATGGTATCATAACTTTCTATTTGAAAATATATGCTTACTTGAATTACTTAACAAATGGTGAGGAAAAAATTAGTGAAGGAATG